TCCTGCTCCTACCAAGTCAGTGGCAATGTGGTGGCACAGCTGCTTTTGGCCTGAGTGAGATTGCATTGCAACCCGTATGGGTAATATTAGAGTGCCAGATCTGAGGACCCGTAGGTCCCATGCTGCCTTCCTGCTGTAACCAAATGCATGGGGAAGGAGCTGGCTGAGGGGGTGTTTAGTCCCAGCTGTATTTTGTGACATCTCGCACAGCACAGGAAGCTTTATGGAGGCAGGGAGGATTCACTGAATGGATAGATTCTGGATCTTAAGCTAGTTCATCAGGAAGGAGCTAGATAATCCATTACTGCTGAGAACGGTCAGGGTATTCCCGGTAGAGAGAAGGCAGGAAGCCAGTTAGAAGCAGCTGGTCAAATCTGAAAATACAGTGGACACATGCTTTTTTAGAGTTGGATTCATGCTGATACATACCTGGGAAGAACTCTGGCTCTAACTTACAATGGGAGAATCCCCAGAAAGACCCAGCCCTATACACCACAGAGTATCCCCACATGGCCTGGGGATTGCCTCCCTTCGTTTGTGCCTTGCCAGTCTGGAGTTAGATGCATTCAGTCTTAATTAGCTGTCTAACAATGGGATTGAAGCATTGGCTCTGTGAAAACTCAGGCTTTAATCCTGCGACCCTGTGGCGTGCTCTTTAGCTGAATGACAGGCCCTGTCTCTGAAGTCAGCCTGGGTGAACCAAAATGACTTTAAATCTGCTTTGCTTAGGTTCCCCATAAAAGATGTAATTTCACATCAGTAGGAGGCAAATTGGAAGAAGACAACAAACCTTCCTCCTTATGCATGTAAGCACTGTGTGTTACTGCGATGACTTTATTGGGGCATGATTTTTCCTTTTCTTTCTGCCAGGCAAAGTCTGTGGGGATTTAATCCTGCAGGCAACAACAATCAGATGGGAAAGATCATCTGCTGGTGAAGTTATTGGTATAATATATATGCTGCCAATTAGAAAAAGAAACTCACTGGTTTCTTACAGTTTTTCTCTGCCTGTAGTTGATTGCAGCCCTTTATGCCAACTCCATGGGATAGGCAAGATCAGAGCAGTGGAACTAAGCCTTGGATGTCCAAGAAGCTGGTGTGGTGAAAGGTAAAAGCAGCATGTGTGGGAGGGAGGCCTGCCACCATCCTCCTCAGGATTGTCTGACCGCGCCAGAGCCCCATTAGGACTGCCTTGTCTCTGGGGATGCTTAAATGAATAAATCTCTTGAAGCTACAAGAACTGGACTGCTGGCTGCAGACGGTTGCCTAGAGTCTGCAGTCTTGTGCTGTATGCCATACTTTATGAGTTATGCAGGCTTGAGCTTAATCGGAGGTGTAGTGGAAGACTTTAAAGTATCATACTGAAGCGGCAGAAAATTTTCTGTTTGCAGCTAAGTCACTCCCCCTGCACGAGGTAGGGCAGTATGCGGTGCAGTTGGCATACCTATCTCTCCTATGGCATGTGGTAAGATCAAGCCACATGTGATATCAAAGATCTTATGTTTACATTTAAACAAGCGTAGCTCTTAAGCCCAACATAATAGATAGCTGAGTACTGCTCACTTGCTTTGGTTGTCCAGGTGCATAAAGAACTTGTTTCAGACCCATCCCAAACTGTTGAGGTCAGGTCCTTTTAGGGATTTGATTGCTTGGCTGTTCAGGCCTTGTAGTGACATCTTCATGCTTGAGTATGTAAAAAAAATTTTTTTCATCCCTGCCTTGCTGTTAACATCCAGCTGTTGTTTGTAATCATATTGAAATGCACTTGCACAGCAGAAAGGATGACTGACCTCTAGTGTTTTCTAATTATAATAGTGCCTGGTAGCATCATTATGCTTGCTTGTTACTGCAACAAATAGAAACCCTTTTAAAATAAGGACTTAACTGCCATAAATATGTGCTCCTGGCGATGCTTGACATGGCAAATCTGAGCTGCAGAGCTGTCTGTATTTTGTATTTACCAAGTATGAAGAAATTTTTTTTATTATTTTTGACTGTAGGACAGGATGGGAAATGGGGAGGAAAAAGAACATGAGGTAGTTGAAAGTATTTTCTCATTTTTCCTGCTGGGATGTTTGCAAAGAAATTGTTTGGATTTTGAGGAAAAATGAGCTGCACAGCCTTGGGAAAACGTTTTCTTTTTTCCCACAGCACAGACGATGGCAGTGCAAATGTCTTGAGTAAGGCCCTGGCTGATTTACTTTTAGAGCAGTGATTCAAACTCTTTTTCGGGGGCTCACCTAACTACCCCTCTCCACTCCTTCCCCCTGAACTTCTGGGTAGTCCCTCTTCATGGTACTCCTGTCTTTTGGCCCCACAACAATATTGCCTTTCATGTCAGTTTTGCTTGGTCTCCTGTCCTCCCAAGAGCATCCCTGTCAACGGCAGCTTTGGTAAAGACATCAGTACGATGTAGCCAGTCAAGGCTTCTCGCTTGTAATCCATTTTCCAGCTGCCTCCCTTTAAATTTGGTAAACCTCACTCCAGAGGTGAATGTCACTGGTAGGGAGCTGGTGGGGAAGAGCACAACCTCTGATCAGATGGGAAACTAGCTGCCCTGTCCCATCTCCTTCCTCATTTTGGCTTTTGGGTCTGTGCCCATGCCCCCCCCCCCATGCACCTCCCCTTGAAAAGCCAGCTTTGTGGAGGTGTCGGGTGGGAAACAGGCTGATACCTCAGGCAAGCCAAAAAGCCATCAGAACAAAAGGCCTGTCCGTAGCTGCTATTCTGTGCTAGCTTTTATCATTTTAAGGCAACTATAGTGAATTGCCGATCTCCACATACCTTGTTTTTTCACAATATATTTTAAGCAAGCAAAAGAGTTGGGTAAACACATTCTGTGTCCCCCTTCCCCCTTCCGCATGATTTCCTTGCCAGTGGTTTGAATTAATTTAGCACTCATGAATTGCTAGTGAGAGCAAGTATTTGTGGCCTTAGGCTCTCACTGTAGCCCTCTGCCTTTCTTTGTGCATCCACATAGTCCCAGTCCAAGAGTGTTAGGATGGAGCTGGACCTGTGGGAACTTCTGCAGCTTCTCTCTCCATGCTTTCTTGGTCCGATGCCATTCTGTGTGTTGGTTTTACACGGTGTATGAGAAGAGTGTGGCTAGCAACATTGTGGGTGGAAATTGGACTGCTGGCGGAGTGCCTGAACACATGTTCTGACACCTAATTTAACTGCA